ATGTGTTTCTATATGTTTTTCTTAGGTTTACTATCACAGAATTTAATTATTTTTATATAAAAAATAGGATTATTAAAAGATTTCAAGCAATTGTATCGAATAACAGAGCTAGTCGGAGACCACTCAAGAAGAGAAATCCCATTTCCAACTTTATCACCCTTTCCCAGGCGTGGTTAAATCCCAGTCTCAGCGCAGTAAATGCCACTTTTCCAGTCCAAAAAAGGCAAATCGCAGTTCCCATTTTATCCCTTTACGACCCTCATGCACTACTATACCGGTTGAGATACCGGTATTCTACGTAAGTTTTTTTGACTCGACATCAGTGGCGTCAACATATGGTTAACAAACTTCCCGAGGGCCTTCGCTCGAAACGTCGAAGTTCTCCTTGTATTTTTTAGGCAGTTAATTGGATCCCTATCAAACCGAAGCTTTCTTAAGGTTAACAAAAAGGTATATTTCGGCTCTTATTTACACTGCGAATCTCAAGGAGTTGAATCAACTCCTGGAGCCAAGACCAATAGAGCTAGGCATCTTTAAAACACAAGCAAGTGTAGGCGTTAAAATTATCCACTTTATGTATGGTGCCATCACTTGGTGAGCATATTTAACATTTTGGTGTTATGTTTGGCACATCGCAGTCATCGCTTTCATTGACATTCGCTGCTGCAGCAAGTATACTATATATCCAAAGAGCCTGGTTATAAAGCCATGGTGTTAAACATGTAAAATAGGGCCGAACTTTAAGCTTTTTCAAGGCAATTGCCTCAGTTCTTAACCCATTTTGACAAAGAGCTTCCGCATACGACGAAGACTAACGCCTGATTCTAAAAGCTCACTCACGCTCACACTCAAAGAGTGGAGGTCCAATCTCAGCTCCCCATTGAGTGTCAGTGCAGTTTTTGAATAGCTGGAGGGTGAATACTGAGTCACATAGTAATTAAGGTACGAGACTAACCCTCCAGCTATTCCCGAAACAGCATTGACACTCAAGGGAAGCTCAGAATGAACCTCCAGAGCTTTTAGAATACAGGCGTAATTCTTTCAAAGTTAGTTTAACATCGTTTTTGGTGACAAGATATCACTTTCGGAATTGATTCAAGGAGCAACTCCTTGAAATCAGAGTAGCCCTGTCAACTGCATGCGTTTAACCTGTGCCGGTGATATTCTAACGATGTTTTGTGAATAACAACCAGTTTAAAAAATTATAAACAATTCATTATAAACTACTTAAGCTGTATCTCTGTCTCATTCTTAGTACAATTGATGGCAGCAATATTGATTGTTCAGTGTATAAAAGAGAAGTGTATAATACTGAACAAAAAATTTCTCCCATACACTCCGATATAGACCCTGAATCTGGGTGTATATCATAAAATATTAAACGTTTGTACATCAAGTGTTGATGTATATGGTATATATTGCACGTGATGAAAGCCACCGATATTACTTATGCTATGAAATTTGATCTCGGCGACAACAGAATGAACATTTGATTATAATTCACATAAACAGGAATGGAGTTTACTATATGTCGTAATCCGAAGTAGCAAGGTAAGATTGAGATAAATATTGCTTGGCACTTAAATACTTGTAGAAAGAGAACTTAATATGTGTATGTATAGAGGCCGTTTTATTATTGCTTTGAACAAACACAATAAAAATATATCCAGTCACGACAAATGCTTAACCACATGGTCGCTAGTTTACGTTCATATATATAGAAATCGAACCCATGAACATATTATCCGTGTCGAATGCAAGAATTCAGGGTCTAATTTTAGTCACGGTTCATGAAACAGTCAAGAGCGCTTTGATATCGGTTGATTTACATAGAGAAAGTTCGATGTGTGTAGGTTGTGACTCAATATATATCTTGTATAGTTTTGTTGATATTTGAATAACAATGATGCTTCAAACATCACCGGCCTGAACACCTGCTTGCGAGCTAACAATGCGACCACAAAGCATTGCATTGATAAAAAACTAAGCTGTTTTGTGTATTCATTTTCAAGGAACCGAAGGCTCGCTGTACAATATGTTATGTCTCAATACAAACCAAGATTCGTCGAACTGCCAACTATCAAATCAACACTAGCGGTGTGCTAATTATAAATCGTGTCACGATCAGGTCAAAAGACTCGAAACTGAAAATCGAATGATCTTTGATTCGTACCGCAAAACAAGACCCTGAAGCCAAGACCAATCGAGGCATCTTTAAAACACAAGTAAGTGCATAGGGCTTCAAATTATCCATTACAATTATAAATTGTTACTATTGAAACATGGTTATGTATGGTGTTATCACTTGCTGAGTATATTTAACATTTTGGTGTTATGTTACACATCGCTTTCATTGACATTTGCTTGAGCAAGTATATATATCCAAACAGCCTTGTTATAAGCCATGCATGGTGTTAAACTGGTGAAATACGGTAGAACTTTAAGCACTTTCAAGGCAATTGCCTCGGTTCTTAACCCATTTTGACAAAGAGCTTCCGCATACGACGAAGACTAATTCTTTCAAAGTTAGTTTAACACATATAAATCGTGTTTATATTTCATTAAACTCGCGTAAAAATGCTTGTTTAACTTAAAGAGTTCTCAAGTTAAATATTAAAGCCCCTTATATCGCCGTAATGTTTTCACTACTTCACGATGCAACAGATATTTGGAAACTTTTTGTCCACTTTATTTCGCCATTCAGACACTTCACATCATAGTAGGTACATTGTACAAGCTCATTTCCGGACATAAGACAAGTCATTCAGACCAACACTGAGCTTATTAATATCTGTACACACAACTCTTTGAATTGATTGAATATATAAGGTAATGCTATGGTACAATTTTCTGACTATTCGCATCGCCGCGGTACATATATGATGCATGTTATTCGGTATTGGTCTGACATTGGTCATTGGTAAATATGATTTACATGACTCGATGCATTATTTCCAAATTGCCATCAGTTGCAGGTTGAAAAGGGATTTCAGTAAATTAGTATATGGTAGCTCAGGCCTTAACTAGATTTTTAGATTTACCGAGTCGAGTCGTCGGGGCATACATGCTCCCCCAGAAAATGTCTGATTTTCTAAGCCGCTTATAGAAACGCTATTTCCTGCATTCTGGGAGCAATTTTAACAAATGATCAGTAATGATAAACAGTCACACAATGACTATATTATAATTTTATAGTCTTCCAGCATTCTGGGAGCAGTATTAAGAAAAAATCAATCTAATCAACAGCGACAATTGACAATAAAATTATGAGCATTGTTCATGCCGTTTTACTGTAATTTACTTGACATATACAAGACAAAATGCAATGGTGAAATGATTTAAAAATATCGGCAGAGAAAAATGTGTGTCATACCAACCCGTTGTATAATGTACATAATATACCTTGGCTGCCCAGCTCTACTGCATCGTTGTATGACTATGTGGGTAATTGTATTGGCAGTTGGAGTAACTGAATCGGCCTCTTGGCATGCATATCATGGCTCTTTAAAAACGCATAAAAAATGAAAAAAATCGATTGAGATTTGAGATGGGAGCATGCTCATGCACCTTTTTTTTTTGCAACTATAGTAATTTTGAAAAAAAAATTCTATGTCGAAATAAACGCATCAAGAATGTTTGCAAAAAAGTTGTGATGCAATATCGCCTAACATCGAGCTATATCCAACATTATCTTTAGGTCAATGCCAATGGTTTTGAAATGTGAAAATCAATCAACAAACACAAATTTAACAAGGTGCTAGCTTATTGGAAAAAACCCAAACAATAGAGAAAAACAAACCGCAGATATTTCAAACAACAGGCCTGACCTCGAAAGCTCTTTTATGGTATAAATTATATATAAATGTATAAAGATAAATGCATGATATAAATGCGAAATTTTGACAGTTTGCTCAAAAAGACAAATGGAGAAATGTGTCACAAAAAAATTAATTCGTTTTTCTCGTTTATAAACTTCGAGCTTTTAATAGGCTAGATGTTATCGATTTTTGTTTGATAGGTAACATCTGTTGCCTGTATAACACAGACATGTGTATGAAATGGACGATAAAATATCGTGTTTAACAGTTTCCGCAGAGCGGATATAACAGCCCGCCCATTGCATCGAGTAAATGTATTGTCGAGTTTTCTTAAAGGAACTTTAAACGGTGAATATAAACAAAGCATATTTTGTATGGGAAAATTATTGAGCCGCTATTGCGCAACTACAGCTATTGTGTTCGATAGAAGTTTCGCATTTCACTGTTTTATATGAAATCTGCGACGACGTATACTACTAGAGTAAACAGTGCGAAAAAAATGTGAAATCCATACTATGTCTATGAGATTTGCAATTGCACCACTAAACCCATAGTGTATCCATACTGTTTCGATTTTGGAAATATACAATTATTATGGATAATCAAAAATCCATTCTATTTCCAGTCAAGGTCCATATACAATTTCCATTCTATGGATTTTCATATTTTTTTCCAGTGAAAATGAATCACTGAATATCTCAAATAATCATGTATCAAATACCTTACAAATGTTAAATATTAAAAGTATTTATTATTCAAAAATATATAATTATTTGAATGAATAGTTTCCCTGGAACATCTGGGACGGGTTGTTCAAAGATGGATTTAGCGCTAACCCTGGGTTTGCGAACATCTGCAATTGAATCTGTTTATTTCAAAATACTGGAAAATAAAACTTCTATTGAATCAGACAAAAATTGTGGAAAAATATTTGCATGTTTATAAGCAAGCTGTTGGGAAGTGCGATTTTGAAATTTTCGTTAACTGGTCCCTGAAATTCTTCGTCGCCTTTGTCGGTTTCCTCGCATTATTACAAAAATGTACAATAAAAAAATCTTCATGACACCCTCTCCTCCAGTTCGATGCTGTACACAATTGCGACACAAAGTTCGGTAATTTAAATGGAGGTTATAGAAGCACGATAATTTTACAGGAAATTCATCACAAAAATTGTATAGAGGATAAAGCCTAGTTCTCATTCATCGCAATCTGTCACCGACGATCGGCGACGCTTATCGCCGATACTCGCCGAGCGCGAATGCACGAAAGTTCTCATACATCGGTGATCGTCGCAGATGACAGCCGATGTGTTTCGAAATTTCCCAAATTTCCCACAAAATGGGCCCATTCAACGTAAAGTTCATGATTTCTGTCAAACTTCAGTTGATTATTTCCTTGCTTGTTGAGGAAAAAACAACTTTTACTCATTTCTCATAGATTTTTTAAGCAGGTGGCAGTCGGCGATGGTCGCAAGAAACAAACTTTTTTGTTTCCTGCGATGTCATCGCCGATGGTCGGCGACGATTACGGACAGTCGGCGATATAATTTTTGATGTGTTCTCATAAATGGCAAGCGGTCGCCGACGTCGCAAAGCTCCCATCGCCGACGGTTTGCGATGAATGAGAACTAGGCTTAACAAATATTTTCATGAGGGGAAAGGATGGAATTTTGGCCTGTATAGCCAATTGAATTGCAAGTAATCCCCTATATGTTGAACTTGTCTCTTGTTCAGATTGTGTGAACATTCTGTGTGCCACATGATTTGTCCCCAAAACCAATGTCTGGACAAGATACGGGCCAAATTCCCTGTAATTGGGCCAGTGGAAATTATCTGTCCCACCACACTCGCTAACTGCCTGGCTGTGATTCGATGCTGATTGAGAATGGTAGTTATTGCAGAATTTAATTTCTCTAGGCGATGGGATGCAATTGGCGATCGTGCCGTTTACGCCATTCCAATCCAAACCTAGCCAAGTTTTTTTCTGAGTTGGTACTCATATATTGATTTATCGTCATTGGCAACTAGGCCTGACATGCAAAGATCTGATTTGATAATTGTGGCATATTCATATTTGTGGGAGATTTCAGGTGAATTTTCCATGTCTATGTTATCCGGTCTAGGAATATTGTAGTGCTAATACCCAAACCACGCCAGTGACGAATTAGGGGACGAAGCAGTTTCGTAAAAATATAGGGAGCTGAAGAAAGGCCAAAAGGCAAGAAAGACAGTAAATCTATAGTATCGTGTACTCCCGATTGGTCCAAGAAAATCCTAAATACGACTGATGTTCAGAAAATATGTCTAAGTGATGGTAGCCGCTCTTTAAATCAAATTTTGTGAAATACTTGCCTGGGCCGAAATAATTAATGGCGGTACGCCAGTCCTCGAATTTGATATTTTGGTTGCAAATATGTTTGTTTACATATCTCAAATCCAGTATTAAACGCTTTTTCTCACTTTTGTTCGTTGCTACGGAAAGTGGATTTATAACGACCAAGTCCTCCTTACGTGTTTCCGCTATTCTACACGTGGATAACAATACTGATAACGCTTCTGAAACAAAATCTGCGTGAACGTGAGCGGAGCGATTATTAGGGAAAGTCGCTCACTCCGGGGTAGAATAAACCAGGGTAAAAAGGGTAAAAAGAAAATACAAGACACGAGATCAAAGAAAATACAAACAGACTGGTTCAGAGCAAATTACGTATTTATTCTTGTTTGAAGCTACAGTGTTTATCTGTGATTACGTTTATTTAATACGAACGATTGAACGATTGTATTTTCTCGCAAGTTTTCTTAGAGCCCATTTTTCCAAACAAATAGGTCTGAATCCCGAGTGTAGAGTGATACAGGACGGCGGCTGTGGCACATTGTCTAAAACCAAGTTATCCTTCGGAACTTCCCTACAAGATTCCATCTCCTGACAGCACCAAGCTTCGTGCGTATATTGTATATGTATTATCACACAATCGCCGCATTTACACTTGTGAAATATGATACAGGTGAGGAAAGTGTGGTTTGATGTGACTTATGCCGTATCAAAAATATATCAGCCAGAGATACTTAGTTTACGTTAAAATCTTAAATAAATCTATGTTTACGCTCACCATGACTTAATATCTTCAAGGCCATCTAATCTTCGTAAAGTTAATCTCCGCCAAAGCCGTAAAGTTAGAAACAGAAAGGCACCGTGGCTGACTGATGCAATTAAGAAAAGTATGAATCGCCGAGATTATCTCAAGAAGAAAGCTATTAAGACAAACTTAACTGCATGCCACAATGCTTACAAAAGTCTTCGCAATGAGATTAACAAAAAAATTATGTATGCAAAACGAGATTATTACACAAACTGTGTTGACAGAAACAGAAATAATACAAAGCAAATGTGGAAACATATTAATCAGTTAGTTAATAAAAATTCTAGATCAACAAATATATCAGTACTACAAATAGACGAACAGGTTATTACTGAAAATGAAACTATAGCTGATTTGTTCAATAAATATTCTACTGATATAGGACCAAATCTGTCGAACCAGATCACGGAAACTAATACTGATTTTAAACGTTATATGAAATTTAAAACTCAACATAAGTTCAATTTCGAAAACATTAATATCAAATTGAAGTGTTAAATGCACTTGAGAAATTAAAGACGTCTAAGTCAACTGGACATGATAATATCCCAGGCAAACTTTTGAAGGATGCGAGTGATGCCGTGGCGCCTTTTTTAGTATTTATTTTTAATACTTCACTCAAACATGGAATTTTCCCTAATGATCTTAAGACTGCAAGAATTTCTCTAATTCTTAAATCTGGTGACAAAAAAATTCGAGGCAATTATAGACCGATTTCCATTCTAACGATTATTGCTAAATTATTTGAGACCGCACTTGTCTGTGCACAGCTCAATTCCTTTTTAACTGAAAATAATATTTTGAGCTCGTGTCAGTCTGGTTTCCGTAAAAATTATTAGCAAATACGGATTCATGGTTACTTAACATGGACGCTGGGAAGATAAACGGAGTACTTTTTCTGGACTTATGTAAAGCATTTGATACGGTTGATCACGGACTTCTCTTAAGTAAATTATCTATCTATGGAATCCAAAATAAGCCTTAGAGCTATAGAGTAATCACACGTGATACCTATGAAATTCGCTCCACTGATATTTTAAAGAAATTAAATTGGAAAACACTCGAAGAGAGAAGAAAGGAGCAAAAATTAGCATATATGGCCAAAGTCCTTTCAAACCAATGTCCTGAAAACGTTTCAACTATGTTTAAAATCTCAAATTCTGATAAATATAATTTAAGAAGCAATAACAAGATGCTGATGTTGTCGAAGCCTAAAAAAATTCAATGAAAAGGACATTCGGATATGCTGCTGCTAAAGACTGGAACAATAATAGTAAAAATATTAAATCTACTTAATTCATTTGTAATGTATATATTTAACGTGTCGTTTCAACGCAAACGTTTCTTAGTATCTTTTAATATTTTTATAATAGTTTATATAATAGTATTTCGAGTTTTAATTTGTATTTAGTAACACGGCCAAATGAAAAACTACCTTTATAATTTTTGTAAATACTGATAGGTAATATGGTTGATTAGTTACCGTGTATAAAGATGGAAGAAGAAGAAGAAGAAGAAGAAGAAGAAGAAGAAGAAGTAGAAGAAGAAGAAGAAGAAGAAGAAGAAGAAGAAGAAGAAAGTGCTGAAAAACATATGTCTTCCCAATAGCTTTTTAGTACTCCTTCATATGTGAATTCGAACTTCCGTCCCTTAAGCTACGTCACACGGCTCTCGCCCCAGATCCTTTTCCGTTTTTTTCTCTGTCGCGACAATTTTTCACTAAAAGCCAATTTTTCAAGGTTGAGAGCCTCATATCTCGCGAATGAAAAAAGAAAACCGAAAAAAGTTAAAGAACCTATTAACTAACTTTTTGTCCTCTACCAAATATCAAAAAAAAAATTTGTGACATAAGCACTTTAAACTAAGAAGGCTGTCTGTGCTACACGTGATGGCGCTACAGTATTTTCACTCATATTTATAGTGTTATGCAAATTCGTATACTAATTTGCATCTTTATTATTACGCTACTTCCGCAGGAAAATTCATATTCCTATTAAAAGAATCAACATTCAATAGAACAAAATAATAGATTGAATGTGAATTCAAAATGAAATAAAAGCATAATCCTGTTGTTGTTAATAGTTGAGTAATGGCATTACTATTTTGTGAGTCACATCTACAGGCATGCATTGGTTTTTGAATATCCACATCACCCTTCCTCAGAATCAGATTATGATGACATAGAGTCGGACTGAGATGATAAATTAAGTCAACATTGATTTTTTCCTACAACTATTGTTTTTCGCTTTCTTTTGACTTGTTTCTTATTTTTGCTTCTCCAATGAAGTTACAATTTCATTTACTTGTTTTACAATTTCATTTGGTTGTTCTAGTGACTCACTGCGTGGTTTGATCAATGATCAAACCAGTGACTGCTTAGCAGCCAGGATGGGTCGTGAAATTTTTCCAGTTACAATGATCTACGAATCGTAGGCTACGATGGGCTTTGAAATTTTTTCTAAGTTCTCAGGATAGGCCACCGGTTTATTTTTGGAAAACCTATTTTTCCCTCCGGCCCACCCTAGCAGTTATTTTATTTAGCAGATATTGGGTTTTTTTATCATATTTTGATAACTCTACTTTCAAAATATATTAGTTTTAATAACAGATAGTTCGTTGCTATGACGACATGCGTGTACGAAATTTACTCCAAAATGGCCTATCATTGCGTATAGTTGGAAAAAAAGCATGGTGACCCCCAAATTTTTTTGGTGCATTATTTTACTTGGACGAAAAGCTAACAATTAGCAAAATATAAAAAAAATTCTGTAATGCCATTTTTTTTGGAAAATGCAAAAATGTCATATTCTTCGGGAATTTTTTTTTTGCATTACAGAATTTTTTTATTTTTTGTATAATGAAAGTTTTTAGCGGTGCAATACAGCATGCAACATTTGAACATAGGTCACCAGACAAAATAAAGAGATATAGCGCATTGTTTTTCTAAAATGGAAAATTCTAATGACGTCAGCAATTGACATAAAATGCTATAGAACACGCGCAATGGCGTGATATGGCGCGAGAAACTGCTCACGTCAGGTCATTTTGGAAGTTCTTTCATTTTCTTAATCAGTTTCCGCGACCTGCCCTGTAAAAATGGTCACCCGTTTTTGAGTAATTCGCGATTCTTGAGCAAAGTTTTTGTGACAAGTGTGAGAAAATGTACATATTAGTATGAGAAAATGAGCAGAAATTAATGAGTTTGGGTAATGGTCGAGGGTCGAGGGTTGTAGGTCGAGGGTCGAGGGTCATAGGTCGAGGTTCGAAAGTCGAGGTCGAGGGTCAAAAGTCGAGGGTCAAAAGTCGAGGTCGAGGGTCAGAAGTCGAGGGTCGAAAGTCGGATTCAAGGGTCGAAAATGGGAAATATTAGTTTTTTATTAAACATTTCTAGAATACTACATTTTTGGCATTTGTTGTCAAAATTTTAAAGGTTCTCCTGATAACTTTGACTTTGACTTTATTGACTTTATTAAAAACGGTACTATTTCACCAAGATATTTACAAAAATTAAGACGGGTGATCTTCCAATAGGCCGTATATAGCTATACTAATTACACATATACTACAGTATCTAATAATAATAACTAAATTACACACAAATTACACACTTACAGTTAGACTATTTTTAAATGTAGAGATACTTGTTTTAGCTTTTATGTCAGCAGACAGATTATTCCAAGTCTCAGCTCCTCGATAGGCGAAAGACTTTTTCATAAAATTAGTTTTAGGTTTAGGTAATGCAAAATTGAATTCGCTCTGTCTTGTATTGTAATTATGTATTTCATTTGAGGTGATGAAAAGTTCCGTTAAGCAATTTGGTAACATGTTATGTTTGGCTTTGAACATTAGGACGGCTAAATGATGTTTTCTTCTAGTCACGAGATTTGGAAAACCGACCTTGTTCAAAACATCGATTGTACGTGTATCATAGTTTTCACGAGTTATTATTCGAAATGCTCTATTTTGAAGCTTCTGGAGTTTATCAGATAGTACTTTACCCAGACAACCCCAAATCTGTGAGCAATAGTCGAAATGTGGTTGAATTATTGATAAATAAATTTTGATCAGTGTTTGGTAATCTAGAATGTCTCTCAATCTTTTAAGGATACTGAGACCTGAATTAACCTTTTTTGTAATTTGATCAACTTGAGCATTCCATGAGAGTGTTTCGTCAATCATTAAGCCGAGTGATTTGGTCGTTTTGACTCTATTAATTTCTCTGTCTTTTATGAATATATTAGGCGTTATGTTAATATGATTGACTCTTCTATTACTACCTATTATCATGTATTCTGTCTTCGTTTTGTTTAAAGTTAGTTTATTTGCCGACAACCAAACTGAAACGTTTTCTAGATCTTGATTAAGTTCCTCAGCAATTGTATTAACATCATAACCTGCCGTTTCAATTTGGGTATCGTCGGCAAACATATTGACTTTAGTGTGTTCCAGACAATTAGGTAGGTCATTTATGTAAATTAGGAACAAGAGTGGACCAAGAGCCGAACCTTGTGGTATACCCGTTGTCACACATAGAGGATCAGATAAATGGGCATTCACTTGGCAATATTGTATTCGACCTGTTAAATAGGAGTTGAGCCAGCGTAATGCCGACCCCCTTATGCCATAGATTGCCAACTTACTAAGAAGGATGTCGTGATTAACAGTATCGAATGCTTTTTTTAAATCAAGAAATATCACACCATTAAGTTGGCCAATGTCCATATTCTGATACCATCTATTTGTGATATCGAGCAACGCAGTTAGAGTTGAATGGTTCGGCCTAAAGCCGTGTTGGGAATTTGCTAGTAGATTTTCCTTAATCAAATATTCATAGATCTGGTTGTGTATTAGCTTTTCCATGATTCTTGCAACAATTGAAATAACGGATATAGGTCTATAATTGGACATGCAGAATTTTTCCCCAGATTTATAAATTGGTGTAACCCTCGCAACTTTCCAGTCAGATGGAAATATGCCAGTGCGGATTGATTGATTAAAAATTAAAGTAAGTGATGGAGCAATAGATGGTGCTGCAATTTTTAAAACTTTAGCCGAAATTTGATCCAGACCGGATGCCTTGGATATAGTTAAGTTAGAAAGCAATCTCAATATTACAGTCTCTGATACCTCTTTAAAGTGCGATAAAGTGTCAGTTGGACATTGAAAATTGGTAAAATATCTGTCGGGAGTTGACGTTGATAAGGGTATATCATTAGATAAATTATCCCCTAATTCAATGAAATATTTGTTAAGCTGATTTGGGATATCCGCTTGATCAATAATTTCGTTATTTTCATTTTTAAGCTGTAGTACTTTATTGGCTTTTTTTGACTTGTTAATCACCTCATTGATTATTTTCCATGTTTTCTTAATATCACCTGAATTATTATGTATCTTTTCTTGATAGTGTTGACGCATTGTACTTTTAATCAATCTATTATAATGATTCTTCAATGATTTATAGGCTGCCCAGTCGCCGTCTAAGTTAGATAAAGTTGCCTTTCGTTTAAGATATGCTTTTTGGCGTTTATAATATTTTAACTCACGGGTTAACCAAGGTACACGTTTCTTAGACACTCTACGTTTTTTAAGGGTGCATGTTTATTGACAATATGAAGAAATTTATTTTTCCAAGTTAACCAAGAAATGTTGGGATCTAAATGGTCTAAATTTAGGCTTGATAATGATTCCAATTCAAAAAGAAAATTGTTTTCATTAAAGTGCTTGAAATCCCGATATTCTACAACTTCCGGGGCTCCCTTGGTTGTATAAAATTTACGAATACCGTAAATTAAGTAGTGGTCACTAATAGTGATAATTCTTACCCCACTAGAAATTATTAAGTCTGGTTTTGTTGTATAAAAGTGATCAATCAAAGTTGCGTTGTCTTTTGTGACTCTTGTAGGTTCATTTATCAATTGCTCGTATTGATAAAGATTAGTGATGAAATTCATCTCAGAGACAAGATGTGAAGGATTGCTACTTAGGATATCCGAATTAACGTCACCTAAAATAATGCTTTCTTTATTTTCATTATCAATCAATTTAAGGCAATTTTCAAATTTATAAAGTGTGTCGATAGGGTCGTTTGGGGGCCTATACCATGTGGTAAGTAGAAATGGCTTGCTTTTGTTTTTGGTAATTTCAATTGTTAAGATTTCAATACTGGTGATTTCCTTGAGATTGTTGTAGGCTCCTTCTTTGAGATGAGCCTGCATGAGAAGATAGGTGGATCCAGTGTCAAAGACAATGTCCGCAACGTAATGAGCAGGTAGTTACAGTTTCACCAGTGTACAGTATGATAATTCTGGAGCCTGTTATTTACGTAGGTTGGGTTAATTTTTTAGAAACGTTCATGCTTGAGAGTGACATTTTTCGTCAATTACAGCGGTACACAAGCCACAAACATTCATTAAATGTTGCATTAACTTTGAAACAAACCGGTTATACTCTACATAACTAGTATGAAACTGGGTACAAAAAATTGCTCCTAGCTCTGCAAACATCAGATAAAAAAATTAGGATTGGTGATTTCAGTAGCCAACAGCTAGGCACAGTCTGGAAACCGAACGATGAAAAACCCATTGCAAATATAATATCTATGATTAAAAGACAAAGTTGCTTTAGGGGCGACATCCAGACTCACATTGCCACGCAAAAACGTCATTTTGAGTGGGTGGGTGGGTTTTTAAAAGACAGTTTGACATTTTGTGTGGCAGTTTGAATTTTTAAAATCAGAAAATATTGAATACATGTACGGAGATTATTTTGGATGTATATATAGAAGTTAACTTGAAGTATATGTGTACTTCACTATGAAATACCGCTGTACCAAAGGCGTTATGTCTCTTTAAAACATGTTGTTTTCGTAAAAACAACGAAAAGTATTAACAGGTAATTTGAATAATTTAATACATTTGAAATCAGTCATGCATTTGGCCTAAATATTTAAATCAAGTTTAAATTTTGTTCTTAAAAACTTTTTTGGATATAGTATTTCATAAAGGGTCTATATATTAAAACAACAAATGTAAAAAATGTAAAAAAAGTAGAGCATGTTTGTTTGTCTGAATTGTATGATACGATCATAAAAAGAGCGTTGTTTTTTGTTCGATTGTTCGAAAATATATTTATGTAAAGTTCATTTTTAAGCTAGCTAGCCATCAGATATAAATATTCATAAGAATGTACAATTATTAAAGTACATAGAAGTTCAAGCATAATTTTTTAAACGTTATTTTTAACTGGATGACACAATTGACATTGCATGCACACTTCTGTGCAACCTGTGGCCCTCCGGATTTTTATACTTTTATAAAATTAATAGTATATTAATTATAACATTAATAGTATATATGGTTTACAATTGAGCACTTTTTCTACACTGTAAAACATCCGTATAGTATACACATCCGTATATATTATCTTATACAGTATATACTATTATTTTTTTCTGTCTATAGTCATGTCCAAGCAATTAACTTCATCCGGAATCAGCTTTAAGCCGAAGCCATATTTAAAAAATTGCCACCCACGAAATTTATCAATAAGAACTGGATTAAGAGACACTATTGCTTTAAAACAAAGCAAGAATTTATAAAAAATGCCCTTCATGAATGGGGCAAAATTAGGCACAATGAAAATGCAGTAAACGAGTATCTTGCTCAAAGTGCATCAACCAAGAATACGTCCAAACCATTTTTTGAAAAACTCTCATCCATGAGGTTTTTTTTCTAACCCTGTCCGGATGGTACTCATGACAGCTGGTTTTCTTACAGCCAATTCGCGCGTCAATCAAGGCCTTATATCTATGGCTAGCTATGTTGCCTTTGTCGGGCACATGAAACAATCTTCTAGTTGTTGAAATCGATATGCTTATGCTCTCTCAATCCCGGGACTTTGTCTAAAAGATGTTCACGAATTTGTGCCACCGAAACACCAGAACTACTCCCAGTTTCTGTGCGACAACGACTTTGGGCAGCAAACCCTTGTTGTTTTACAAAATCTGCAGCAATATTCACCAAGTCTGGAAATTTTGAAGAAATGGAAGGTTGACCATGAGTTGTTTTCGCAGTTTGGTTACTGGCTGTTTGACGAGTACATGTCTCACTCAAGTCCGAATGGTTGTGAAGTTCAGAATCACTATCGATATCATCATGGATGTCACTACAGAGCAACAGGGCCTCAATCGCACCAGGCGTGTAGACAAACTCGTGAAGATTCAGAATTATTGCACCAGTTTTAGTTTGCAAAAGCATTACCGGCATAAGTTTTAAGATCTGATGGAGTGCATTGTTTGTCATAACACAGCCAGTTTCTTCAGGCATCATCACAACATTTTCAGATGTTATGCTCGCAATACCTTTTAACTAGTCGGTTGATAATGGGTGCTACCCTAATTACCCTAATCCTAGGGTTAGAGGTTGGGGTGTGGGTTAGTCACTATTTGTTCGCCCGAAACAAGCAACGCCGAGAATTCTGCACAATGCTCGATGCCAATTCTTGCATACTAAGTATGGATGACATGGCCAAGATAAAAGTTGGTGCTCCTGCTGTTTCAAGGTACCATCAAATCCTCCGAATCTTCTATTCATCTGATATGCCAAACCTCAACGACCATGACTTCCCCGTTCCAAATTACCTTTTGTCTGTGTCTGGGTACCTGTTTCTGGAGGGAGCTTCAGCCAAAGATGATACCAACTCTCTCTCCGAGACTGCTTATGATACCACATGGAATTCAAATGAAAATATTGAAGAAGTGAAATTGGGTGAGGTTGCTGATAATCTGTGGTCAGTTTTGATAGAACAATGCAAAACACAATTAAACGTAAACGTAAGTGAAGAAGATCATAAAGATGTTATAGAAAACGAATTAACAGAAAACAGGAATATTTATCGTTCTAGAGTAGATATTGATAATCTCGCAGATCTATTCAACAATTTGTCATCCGCGAATAATCTTGATGTTGTAACCGAGGCTATAAGTTCACAATTCCAATGTGACATTATTAGATTAAAACCTAATGGGGCCAAAGAAGTTTTGAAAGGAAGACATGATTCAAGTAGCAAACAGTCGCCATTGTACTACAGATTTAAGAAGACTGACGGTCGTTTTTATCATGTGCGTTTTCCTGAAGAAAGCATTGATATGTACAAACTAAGTGTCACTAATTTGGCAAGTAAGAACTTGAAACATGATGGACTTGGTCATCTACATCTTGACACACCATACTCAGGTCCAACTCATCTAAAGATTCGATCACACAAATACAACTCTACCACTGCGGCAACCCATGTGGCAGACCTTTACAACATTCTCAAACCATGTAAAGATGAAAAGTCCATTTTTATGTTCCTGGCAGATGGAGGACCCGATTTCAACCCTTCACATATAACCAACTCATTATTCTACTACCGACTTTTCAAAAAACTGGATGCAGATTTATGCTCGTTACTTTGCATTTAACCCAATTGAACATTGTTGGTCTTTTGCAAGTAATCATCTTGCCGGTGTAGTTTTTTCCCCGCTTGTGGATGAAGATACCGCCGCCCCTGCATTACAAAGTGGTTTAGATGAAGAAGTCCGTAAACAAAAAGAAAAAGTTATCTTTGATCGAGCAATGAATGCAATGGCTAGTCAGCAATGGTATGATCTCACCTTTGATGCTTTTCCAGTTAACGTTCAACCAGTTATGGTAAATGAAGACAATTTACGATGACTATGACAGAGTCCGGACGTGCCTTAAGTGCCCTTTGAGGTCTCTTCACGAGTACAGAGATATTGTTAAGGAAATGAAAGGAATGCTATGATGTCACATAGATCACCACTTGAATGAAATAATATTTATTAAATGCGCAGTGACAAATCTTGCTGTGGTGAATTTCGATCTCAAGCAGCCAAAGATTTCTTGGGAGACGCAATGAGGCTCCCATCCCAAAGTTCTGTGTACAAGGGTTGTTACAACACATTCCTCCAGGAAACCATGAATACAAGTAAGCGCTTCGGTGATGCAGGACAACCAAATGCGGAAGAAAAGGCACTTGGAAGTTGTCCAATTTGTCCATCTTTTTCTTTTAAATCGAAGACTGAGATGGATAGACATCAAAGCATGTTTCATCGCCACCAGAAGATACCGTCCAAAGAGGTTCAACGTATCTACTGCTCATTTGAAGGATGTGGAAAAAGTTTTGGTTCAGAGTCGTCCCGTATGAAAAACATGAACATCCACATGATAATTCCAATCAACCGCCGCCACTCGAGTTTACATTTGAAAACAACCATTTCACCGAAATTTAAACGTGATGAAAACGATTTACACGTGAAAATTAATGAATATTTGTTCTTATTAAATTCCAAATTAATTGAGATTTTTCTAATTGCTGGCCGTTATTGTGCAAGCAAGGACGTGTGTTCGTTTGCTTGTGCGAGACAAAACTTGCGACTCCAACTGTTTCAATTAACTTGAATTCAGATGCAAAAACCACAATATTTAATTTGACGCTTTTTCCTTGATTTAAATAATCAAAATCGTACGCAACTTGATAATACCCAAGACAGTATCTTTAGCCACTACTTTCCAAAGAAGTCGAGTTTTAACGTTTAAGTTTTAATGCAAAATTTTAAACAATTTTACGGAGCGCCGAGCCCACGATCACAAATCTTTGTAACCTGAAATCTGCTGTGTTGGTGTAATGTACTCAGGTGAATAAGATGTTTGTGTGATGTTACTCTGAGTGTGTATCCACACTGGGCAGGCTTGAAAAATATGCCTGGCCACGGCGGGATTCGAACCTACGACCTTTGGAATACTAGCCCAATGCTCTTCCAACTGAGCTACGCGGTCAGGACGGTTCGAGTATGCGATATTTCGGAACTGAGTCTAGTTCCTTCGATATCAGTGTAATCTAATAATCATGAAATCTGCTGTGTTGGTGTAATGTACTCAGGTGAATAAGATGTTTGTGTGATGTTACTCTGAGTGTGTATCCACACCGGGCAGGCTTGAAAAATATGCCTGGCCACGGCGGGATTCGAACCTACGACCTTTGGAATACTAGTATCGCATACTCGAAATATTGCATACTCGAACCGTCCTGACCGCGTAGCTCAGTTGGAAGAGCATTGGGCTAGTATTCCAAAGGTCGTAGGTTCGAATCCCGCTGTGGCCAGGCATATTTTTCAAGCCTGCCCGTGTGGATACACACTCAGAGTAACATCACACAAACATCTTTGTAATCTATTTAACACATGATGTTGTGTTTTTGCCATATCTTTCTCAGCACGTAAAACAAAGAACATTAGTTTGAAGAACGATTTATAGTTAATATAAAAAGTAGCGAGTGGAAAGTACAAAAGTTGAAAACAGAAACTGAACAAGTGTTTCTGTGTTATTTAGCAAGTGTGTTACTTACAAAATTGCATCTTACAAATTGTACAGTCTGCTGGGTTATATTTTAAAATTCCTAAAGATCATCAATTCATTATAAACTCTCGCTATTTCCTGGATAAAACAGGACTGCCACGCTTGACGTTAACAAGGGTGGGTGTGTTTGAGTGTTAACATCAATTTGACGCTAAGCATGACAACATGAAAATGGACGCGGCCTCTAAATCAAAAAATCAAAGCTTGTGTCAAAAAACGAAAGCTGTTTATAAATGTGGTAAACACTACTAAACGGTGCTCATTGAAAGACATCTATAATATATTGACATATTGTCATTTCGGTGTATGATTTTAATACCGTAGATTTTCAACAGCCAGCTATACTTTTACATATACCATGATCGTTGAATCAGTTCAGAAATGCCAAGGGCCAATTTTATAGTCTTTTGACGTGCTTTACGTTTTTAGTGTGAAGTTTCTTCCTATTGTGATGACTGTGGGAAATTCAAACGAAACAGTCAGTCATTCAATCAGTCAGTCAGTCATACAGTCAGTCATACAGTAAACTTTCCGGGGGGTGTATACGGTATATGTTCGTAGTGATTTATCGTACTTAGTCTGTGCTTTGAAGGTTATTTAGGCAATTTCAGTTGTCTTACTTAAATATTCTTTATAGGCCTTTTGCCAAGTTTACAAAAAATTAGGAATTGTTGTCACTATTGTAAATTTTATAACATGCGCTTCTCATGTTGTGTAAAGGATCTTTACCCCGGAACACCCGATTTTTTCTTTAGTGCAAATGCGCTATCAAGCCGTAGATCACGATGGTGTGACGATGCTAGGAAGGAGCGAGACAATGTTGTTTTGAAATGTATAAACATTTCAGACGTGAATATTGAGTAAGTCTTCGAGAATCTACGCAATATATAAATTGATGTTATACATTCAATTAAGTGCCGATATTATTTAGACAGTATATTCATTTTACAGAGCTAGCAAGGAGCTAGGACAGTGCCTTTTTTCAAGTGTATATATTAAACATTTCAGACGTAAATATTGAGTCAAAAATCTTTGAGATTGTAGGCATTCAATTGAGTGCCGATATTATTTTCACGGTATACCCATTATACAGAGGTAGGAAAGAGCAAGAGAGTTGTTTTCAATATATAAACATTTCAGACATGAATATTGAGAAAATCTTTCGGATTCTACGCAATATATAAATTGATGATGTTATGCATTACCGGCGCCCAATTAAGTGCCAGAAGATATATTGTTTAGGCTGTGTATTCATTATACATTGGCCACCATTGGCTGTATAAGGTGCTACACAGAATAGATGGCTACACTCGGTACAAAGAGCGAAAAATTGCATCAGAAAAAGCGTACACAACTATTAAACAGAAGCGGCTGTTTGTATGGCGTTTACAAAGAAAATAACTTGTGAGTTGTGATCGAGACTAAAAGAAATCAGTTGAGTCTGCAGAGCTCTTTATTTAAACAAGAAAGACGAGGAGTTATAGCCAATGTGTTATCGCCAATCGCTTGGCTTGCCAACAAGCCTTATGCAATAGAAGAAAAAAGCAAGGAGGTAGCCAACATGTACCGTCACAGACTTACTTTGTTTACTGTCTAGCACAGTGTCAACAGTGCAAACTCGTGTTCAGTGCAACAATAACTCTACCAGATCTTACGAGAATCAATCTGTACACAGAGCCGTATCAAAGCTTGTTAAAACTGCTATAAACACTGCTATAACTGTGAAACTATTGGAATCTAAAGTGACATTGAATAGATGCAAAACGCTGAAAATGACTCATTAAATGCAATGTGACATTGCCATTGGGAATATATTTCATTAATCATTATTTAATCACGGAATCTCATCATCAACCATAAAAATACAAGATGCTCTTCCTGGGAGCCCTGGGTTTAAAATACAAGTATTTACATATATTATATTACAAAACAAGATACTAATTATATATTAAACTATGTACAAATAAATATAGAAACTACTAGAAATCTAAAATTGATTTTTAAATTGTGCAATTGTAGAAGCATTACGTTGGTCATTTGTCAAAATATTCCAACGCAGTGCCCCTCTGTAGGAAATGCTACGTTTCATAGCTTCAGAATTAGGTCTAGGTATAAACAGACCATATACAATTAAACTTAACCGAGCAATCGCCTAAATCGTATGCAGATATGGCGAAACAAAGCGGTATAGAAATTCAGTCTAACATTGAAAATAAAATTGAGGAAGACACAACTGCTCACATGTACGGATAATTTACGCTCTAGCGCCTCAATTGTTCTGGAATGATTGCCGATTGTTTTTAAGCCATTAAAAACGTATGTATGATTGATCATGAATGAATAAGCGGAGTCAGAAAAGAAAGTATAGCCTTAAACTACGATCTCACTTTGACTCTGTTTATAATAAAGCACTTAAATATTAAGATTTCATTTCTTTGAAGAACCACGGTTCTTTATCGTGGTTATACTCCGAATTTACAAACATACTAAACCTAAGCTTAACACACGCTTTATACTAAAATTAAAATAATTAATTAAACATGCATGCACTAATTGATTTGCTATTACATACCAGCCTCAAAGGCTCCAAGCCTTTCTAATACTAAATAGCAAATATTTACGAGGTTGTCTCTGTAAGAACCGACCGGTGATTCTCAAATTGAAAATCAACCATGTCCCATATTTTTGTCATTTGTTAGGCTTAGTAAGCACATCATGGAATCATACTCAGAATTTTTCAACTTCTGTATTTTCCTGAGATTTTTATGATTTTGTGCTTACAACAAACGATAGTGGTTTTCACGCTTCACTCGACGCGTAAATGACACTTTTATATTGTCTTATTGCACAGTCGCGTGAACGATTCTTGGAATTATTTTGATATGTTTTTAAAATTCAATGTTTCAACTTCACGTTACTGATTTTATTTGGTTCGAACTGCGTTTAGTTCATAACTTAATCAGAGTATGCTTTTGAGCTGTTTCCCATTATCGGCTGTGCTGTTAAAATTAGCTTATTGCAAAATCGTTTTATTCAAAAGTGGCACCACTTACAAACTCTACCTCCGATTAGTTTGGAAGTACTTACGGTGTACTATATTCGTATTGAAAAACATTTGTGGGGAAATAATTCGAAAATATTTTAATCGCGGCACAAAGTTTACAATTTCCACCCAAATTAGGCCGAAACCGGAAATGACAAACCAGACAATGAAAATGACATTTTATCGTTATTAAAAGCAAATATATTCTCTGGTATATACAATGTGTTTTATTTTCGAAAATAAAATACTTTTAAATGTATATGAACGGAATAATAAGATTTAAACATTTTTTAGGCTGCTTATATTGGAGCGACTGACCTGCTAACGGCAGGAATGTCTTGATAAACAACAACACAATACCCTTTGTCTTTGTCCACTCGTGTGCGGAAAATTCAAATGCGATTGTAAACAAACTATAAATATTTGGTCACAGGTATGCAATTGATGTGATGCATGTTTTCTATTACAAGAGTTCTATGTTAACTTTTTGTTTTTTGACCGCCATAATAACGTTTTATACAATAAATCACTGAGCATGCAACCGCGTTCAAGCGCTCAGTTTTTTTGGCTGTCTCCTATTCCTATGATATGACTAATGCACTTTTTAAAAAGTTACTGTGTAGTAGGTAAATATTACTAATAAAGTAATATCAAAATTAGCAAGTTCCTATACATGCAGAAGAGTAAATAAAACTTGTCATGGCATTTAATAGGAAACACTTTGAAAGAGTTTCAACTGAGTGTTTATAAATTGATTCTTTGTTAACATAAGTTAATTGATTTATCTTGCTGCTTTTGCGACATCTAATAGCAAGCGTTTGTAATTTATAGCAAGTTATATATAACTCGTTATTACTGTAACTTTTTTCTCACGCTGAATCGCCGCTTGTCTAGACTGGCTCTCTTTCCAAAAGGGCGTTTCCAGACAATGTTTCTCAATCTCACACGTTCTACAAAATTGAGTTCTACAAAATTGAGAGAATTATGGAAGAAAAATGCTTTCTGCATGATCGTAATATCGGCGAATGTGGAAGTGATACTCTTCGCAACCTCAGGTGTCTGATGATCTTGTTGCACTTATGTCTGCATACCAACTTGCTGCCACCAGAAACGCAAAGCTTCAAATTCTAAGTATTTATGCAAACAGATATCCAACAGAAACCCTGATAAAACTACACGAGCCATACGGAAAAATAACGAAATGGCAAATAAAGAAAGCGAGGGCACATGCTAACTTAAATGGTCCAGGTGAGAAAGTAGAGAAAATCAAGCAAAACAGGATTCGAATAGATAGAACTAAGCTAGATCATTTTATTGATTTTGCGAATCGGCCTTATTTCTACCAAGACGTGGCATTTGGAACAAGAAAGCTCAAATTAGATTCGGGATCAAAGCTAACAATACCAAATGTAATACGTAATGTTACAAGATCAACACTAATCTCTCAATACATGCAATATTGCGAAGACCAAAAGGTTGAGCCACTCACTTGTGCCACCCTTTTCCGGATCTTGAAAATCAGAGAAGCGAGTGAGAGGAAATTCTTGCATGGTGTAGACAATATAGCTGCGGACGGTTCTTCAGGTATCGAGATGCTGAAACAAATTGTCTCCGAAATGGAAAAACTAGGCGTGGGGAAAGAATGGGCTAAAATGACTGTACAGAAATTGAATTCCGCCAAAGTATATTTAAAGTCTGATTATTTGGTTCACTGTAAAGAGGAAAGTCCATGTCCTGATCATTGTAGGCATTTTGCGCTAAGTGATCCAACAGATAAATTGCTCCAAGAGTCGTGCGATCACGAGCATTCGCTTTTCTGTGACAGATGCGAAGATTTGAAACAGGTCATCAGTGATATCGAAGAAGCAATTCAAAAGAATTCTAGTAAATTTTTCTCCTGTGAACAAAGAGACGACTTACTTTGAAACGTGCAAAAGAAAACATTTTCAAATGGAAATGTCACGTTCTGAGATCATGTAATCAAGAAACAGCAAAACAGAAAGTCCTATCATCACTTGACGAAAGTTTGGCTTTAATTGTTATAGATTGGGCAATGAAATTCCTACAGTTGAGGCACCGAGAAAAGCAGTCTGACTGGTATGGGAAGAGAGGTATCAGTTGGCACGTTAGTAGTGTAGTTACAAAAAATGTCGAGAACAGGGTCTTAGAGTTAGGAAATCATATGGTATCGGGAAAGGGAAATTCATTCCTTTCTCAGACATTGTCGTTAAAAAACAAGAACAGACAGACATTCAGGAAGATGATGGATTTTTTAAATTTAATGTGAGAGCTATGAAAGAAGATAAACAAATGGCAGAGGACGATGAATCAAATGCAATCGAGTGTACCGTTCCAGGATGCGAAAAAGTCTTCAAATGTTTTGAAAATCTGGAAATTCATCTCAGTGCGGGAAACCACACCAATACTCTTGAAAACGAGACATTGTACGACAGCTTGAGAAAGAAATGGGCCAATAAATTTCAAACAATTGATATCAATCAGATGCAAGTGAGATATTTGTAACCTTGACCAGCCACCCCATGGCGCCAGAGAACAAAATGGGCAGGGCTCTAAGCAAGCCCAGTACATCTTCCCAGTTCAGCACGAATGTCCACAATTATTTGACAACAAAATTTGATATTGGTGAGCAAACTGGCTGCAAGTTTAGCTCAAGTGATGTAGAAGGTGATATGCGTAAGTGTAGGAATGAAAACAACGAGAGGCGATTTACTCGCGAGGAATGGCTGACATCAAACCAAATCAAAAGCTTTTTTTCTCGTCTTGCTGCTGCTAAAAAAAAAGGAAAGAAATGGGGGCAGAGGAAAAATGGGATGCTGACCCAACGGAAGACGTAGATGATTCAGAAGTAGAAATCGAGGAGAGAGTTAAACAACATTGTTGATCAAATAGGAATTCAGCATCCTATCATCTATGACATTTATGATTTGTGTCAGTATTACAAAAATGATAAACTTCGCCTATTTAATATCAGCATGTTAAAAGCTATCTGTGGGCATTTCGAGATACCATTCAAGTCAAGAGATCGCAAATCTGACCTTATTCTTAAAGTTGGAGAAATGATTAAAGCAACATTGAATGTCAATGTTGCTCGAGAACTGATGAATAACTACATGCATAGAGACATTATATACCTACAGACATGAAGTGATAGTTTATAGAGTTATGAATATTTAATTTAACTGCTTGGTACAATTATGCCACAAAGTAGTCGCCACTCAATCAGCTGAAATCTCGGTTGAAATTGTCTAACTATATAAGTTGAACTTACTAAGCAATGCCTAATTATGCTGCAGAAATAAAATTGCAGTTTTAGTTGCATGTGAGCGAGACCGACATACTCAAAGTAAACTGATAACGTCCTCCCCCCACCCAACTTTGGAAGAGGCGAGTGCCTCGCATCTGTATCCTAAAAGCTCACTCACACTCAATGAGTGGAGATTCAATCTGAGCTTCTCTTGAGTGTTAATGCTGTTTTTGAATAGCTGGAGGGCTATAGTGTCATACTTGATTTGGTGACTACTCACCCTCCAACTATTGAAAAACAGCATTGTCATTGACACTCAAGAGAAGCCCAGATTGAACCTCCATTCATCGAGTGTGAGTGAGCTTTTAGAATACGGGCGTCAGTCTCGCTCTCTGAATGAAATAGCCTGAATTTTAGATATAAATCTGGTTCGTCATTTCTGGGTTTAGGGTCAAAACTATTGAAAATATATAGTAAATTCTTTTACGAATTAATTCCCCAGATAATATAGAGGTAACCAAAGATGACCAAATATTTATAGTTTGTATACAATCGCTTTTGAATTTTCCGCACATGAGTGGACCAGAGTGGGCAAAGACAAAGATTATTGTGTTGTTGTTTATCAAGACATTCACGCCGTTAGCAGGTCAGTTGCTCCAATATAAGCAGCCTAAAAAATATTTAAATCTTATTATTCCAATACAAATATCATTCATAAACATTTAAAAGTATTTTATTTTCGAGAATAAAACACCATTGTATATACTAGAGAATATATTTGCTTTTAATAACGATAAAATGTCATTTTCGTTGTCTGGTTTGTGATTTCCGGTTTCGGCCTAATTTGGGTGAAAATTGTACACTTTGTGCTGCGTTTAAAATATTTTCGAATTATTCCCCACAAATGTTTTTCAATACGAATATAGTACACCGTAAGTACTTCCAAACTAATCGGAGGTAGAGTTTGTAAGTGGTGCCACTTTTGAATAAAACGATTTTGCAATAAGCTAATTTTAACAGCACAGCCGATAATGGGAAACAGCTCAAAAGCATACTCTGATAAAGTTATAAACTAAACACGCAGTTTGAACCAAATAAAATCAGTAACGTGAAGTTGAAACATTGAATTTTAAAAACATATCAAAATAATTCCAAGAATCGTTCACGCGATTGTGCAATAAGACAATATAAAAGAGTCATTTATGCGTCAAGTGAAGCGTGAAAACCGCTATCGTTTGGCGTAAGCACAAAATCATAAAAATCTCAGGAAAATACAGAAGTTGAAAAATTCTGAGTATGATTCCATGATGTGCTTACTAAGCCTAACAAATGACAAAAATATGGGACATGGTTGATTTTCAATTTGAGAGTCACCAGTCGGTTCTTACAGAGACAGCCTCTTACATCCTATACTAAATTTTTTTTTGTTATTTCCTTTAATCTAAAAACGTTCAATAAATTAAATAGTTCAATAAAGTCTAAATATTAATTGTCTCCAAGTGTAACCAAATTTAAATATTGACTAATCGTCTCTAATTTAATAGCACTTTCTAACAAACACAGTTTCCCCACGTCACATCGTAATCATGCAGAACATGACCATATTCATCAGGGAATACTTCTTCAACTATAACTTTTGGCCACTGTCCACGTTGAACATTCTCTTGCATGACTAAAACGAAATCACCAGGTACAACATTTCGTCTAGGATGTAACCATTTCTGACGTTCTTGTAAAGTAGGTAAGTACTCCTTAATCCAACACTTCCAAAATATGGAGGCAAGATACTGGACTTGTTTCCATTTCTTGTTGTACAAAGTAGTTTCGCCAAATTCAATGGGTTGATAGCAAGGATTTGGACATAATAACAACAATTTATTCGGAGTCAATGGTTCTAAATCATTAGGATCATCACTAAGTCTGGTCAAAGGTCAATCATTCAGGATTTTCTCGACTTCTGCCAAAATTGTTGCAAGAGTTTCATCATTCACCAACTGATCTGTCATCAACGAACGCAATATTTTCCTGATTGATCGGATAATCCTTTCCCAGACACCACCCGCGTAGCTTGCAGCTGGTGGGTTAAAATTCCATTCAATGTCACGACTTCTCAAAGAACGAGAAATATGATCCTGATTCCTTTTTGTCAAAGCTTCCTTTATCTCTGTTTCCGCACCTTTAAAATTTGTACCATTGTCACTGAAGACCTTGGTAGGAGGACCACGTCAGCTGACGAACCTCATAAAGGCTTGTATGAAGGAATCTGTGCTTAAATCGTAAGATACCTCGATATGGACAGCCCGGATAATAAGACAAGTGAATACACATCCATATCGTTTTGATGCTTCGCTTTAATTTCACAGTGGGCCAAAATAGTCGATACCAACTGATGAGAATGCTGGTTCTTCTGGAGTGACTCTTGCTTCTGGCAACAGAGACATCATTTGCTCTATCAGGTGTGAATTCCAACGACGACATGTAAAGCACCTCCGCACTACTTGTTTAACCGCACTCGGACGTTACAGAATCCAGAATCTTTGTCTAATTGTGGCCAAGACTTGGCTGCTACTAACATGGCCTTCCATCTGATGGTAGTGGTTAATTATCAACTGGGTCATTGGATATTTCTGAGGTAGAATCACTGGGTGAGAAGCGTTGTAACCAATCGAGGCTCTCTATAAACGACCACTAACTCTCAGGACACCATCAACAATAATCGGATTAAGCTTTCTCAATGGACTTAAATAGCCTGTACCTCCAAGAACTTTACCCAAGCTGTCACCTATCCCAGTCTGAATAAGTTCTAGTTCCTTGGGAAATGTCAACTCTTGAACCAAACGAACAATTTCATGTGTGCTGTGATGTAGTTTGTAAACTCTAAGTGGTCCACAAGTCATATTTCTTGATCTCGAGGTTTTAAGCATAGCGAGTATAAATGTCTTGAAACGAAGAAAGCAGGCAATCAAGGCTTCAAGTTTCGTCCAAGTGGAAAATTGGTTCAACAAACTATAAACGCCAATCATGATCTGTAATATAGTGTATATTGAAAGACTTCTTCTTCAACTCTTCATCATCATCAGCCAATTCAATCAAGTCAGCAGGTTGCTCTGGCCAGAAACATTCGGCTTCCCACAAAAATGAGGGTCCATTAAGCCACTGCTAAGTTTCTTTGAATCACTCATCTCCAACCCACGAGACGCTGAATCTGCAGGATTCCATTCGAGGGAACGTGTCTCCATTGGTTAGGTGTTGAGATCTCATGAATCAGTGCCAATCTATTAGCTGTAAAGGTCTGGAATCGTCTAGCTTCATTCCCTATATATTGTATGACGATGGTAGAATCCGTCCAGAATACTGTGTCATGAATCGGTAGTTCCAACTCATATGAGATCAACTTATGTAGCTTAACTGCGACTGTTGCTGCAGAAAGTTCCAATCTTGGGATAGTAAGTAGTTTTAGCAGTGCAAAACGTGACTTTCCCGTCAGGAGGACGCAATGTATGGATCCCGACACGTCAACCAAACGAAGATACAAAACTGCCCCATATTCGATCTCCAAAGCATCAGCAAAATAATGTAACTCAATGGAAGAAAGTCTACCCAAGGTTTCGGGTTTCAAACAATGTGGAATGGCAAGTCGCTCAAGACCAGGTAGATTATCAATCCATTTCTCCCAATTCTCTGAAAGTTCAGGTGGAATTATTTCGTCCCAACCAATCCGATTTCTGCATAGATCTTGTAAGATCGTCTTGGATGGTAACAACAACGGTGCAGCAATCCCAAAGGATCGTATATTGATGAGACTAATGATAAAAACTTCCTTCGCGTATCAACAGCCTCACGTTTTCCAACTTTATAGCCAAACATATCGTTATATATGTCCCAGTGAAGCCCCAAGGCTTGATCGATCCGCGATTTCTCCAAATCTAAATCAACCACAGAAGCTCTTTTCTCTACTGGTATGGCGGTAGTAACTTCTCAACGATCCAATACCCACTTTGTAAGATTAAATCCCCTCGTTCCAGCAACCATGGTAATTCTTTTACCAAGTGAAGTGCTCTTTCAATCAATTTTAGACAATCATCTACGTAAAAATTACGATTCACTGTCTAGATAACTGATAAGTCAAAATCCTTTCAATTGTCTTTGGCTGTTTTCCGTAATGCAAATTTGCACAGCTTGGCAACGAGGTGGCACCGAACAAATGCACAAGCATTTGGAATTATTTTGCTTTCGCTTTCAGATCACCTTTTGGCCACCACAAGAATCTGAAGGCATCCTGGTCTTTTGGATCTATGTGGACTTGATGAAACATCTGTTCAACATCCGACATCATAGCAATTGATTCCTGACGGAAGCGGAGTAGAACCCCAACAAGTGAATTTGTTAAATCCGGTCCACTTAGTAGCTGATCATTGAGCGATGTTCCCTTATATTGTGCCGAACAGTCAAACATGGCTGACTTTTCCTGGGTTCTTGGCATGTAATACAGGATGGTGAGGCAGATACAAAAGGGGTTTATCACTCGAATCAATCTCAGGTTCAGGAACTCTTCTAGCATGACCTTTGACAACATAATCATCAATAACATTCCTGTACTTCTGTTTCAGTTGTTCATCATACTTTCATCGCCTTTGAAGTTGTTGGAGTCTCTTCTCAGCTAATAATTTGTTGTCTGGTAAACACGGTGGACTATAACACCACGGTAGAGATATTTGATAGTGACCATCGACTTGTTGTACAGATTTTTCCATAATAGTAAGAGCTCGACGGTCTTCGATCGACATAGGTTTACCTCCATTCAAGGGTAAGTCATTGAACTCACTGTTATATAATCGTTCTAACTGATGTGTTATTTCTTCACCATGATCGATCTGTACAAAATTAATATTTCCTTCCATGCTAGTTCCACTTCCTATAGGACCAAACAGCGTCCAACCAAGTATCGTACGAACTGCCACTGGTTCTTTAGGTCCTCCCCATCTTTCCTCCAATGTCCAATGAACTTCCGGAACGTCACTTCCAATCAAGATGCTGACTTCTTTGTCATTGAGCTTGGGGAATTCGATATCATTCAGGTGAGACCAATGGCCAATATCGTCCACCTCAGGGATACTTCTTTCTGAAATAGGTAGACGGTCAACACTCCATACACAATCTAATTGTAGTTCGCCTTCACCTTTCAAAGCTTGCACCTTCAGCTCCACTTCTAGACCATGTCTCTTCTTGTCCTGAGCATTGACTGTTGTTAGGGAAAATTCAGTTGGTTCATGTTTCAGGTGAAGCTTCTCTACTAAACTGTTCATGCAAAGTGTCGTATCTGATCCGTTATCAATAAAGGCATACGTATCCACTTGACGAGTGCCATCGTTGTTGGTGATTCTTACTGGAAGTATTCTTAAACATACCCTTGGTTTCTTCTTCGCTGCTGCTCCACAATGTCCAGAATTTCTGGCCTTGTTACTACGCTGAGGGGATTCTTGCTGATCTTTTTCAGAGCTTGCTGTGCTCTCTGGTGGATTAACTGGTAAATGAAGCAGGGAATGGTGTCGAACATTACAGCCACTCAACATACATGCCGGACCCAATCTACATCGTCTTGCAAAATGATTCTTTCTTAAACAATTGTGACACAAGTTTTCTGTCCATGTAAATTCTAATTGTTCTTGGTAAGACATCTGCCTCAACTTGTAGCATTTTTCCAAGTCGTGATTTGATGCTCCACACAGTAAACACTGCCTACTTCTTTGCTGCGATTTACGATCATTCGAATTGTCACCACCAGTTTGTGTTTCGGCATGCTGTGTTCCAAATGTTGATACTCTGCCGGGATCAAGAACAGGTTCCCTTACTTTGGGTTTTGGCTTAACATCTCCTTCTGGCTTCGATCCGACCAGCTTACCAAATGTGGTATTGGCTATTGCGGCATACTTTTCCACAAAGTCGACCAAATGTTCACCGGATTTAATTTGTGGTCCTCTTACAACTTTCTCAACAAACGCTTGTACGATGTTATGTTTTTGAGCAAAGTTCTTATGTAAAATTTCTTTGGCTTTCTCGTAGCCAACATCCGCCAGGTAGATTACGCAGTTCTCAATATCTTGTCTAGCTGCCCCGCTGGTATATTGAATTAGATAGGAAAGTCTAATCAGGTACCAGACTTTCTACATTCACATTCATTCATTGGTATGAAATAGGTAATTGGACAAGTACTGGTGTAAGACATTGTGTAGCCAAAATAATGAGGACCAGTAGGTCAAATGGTTATCCTTTATTTATTTACTCCGACTCCTGTGATGGTGAACATATATGCAAAAAACAAGGGAAACTACGATTAGATAGTAACTGAATATGTGAATTTTATGTGACATGATGAGGGCGAGGATATATAACAGCGAGAGATTGAATTGGAATAGAAAAGGCAACCCTGTACGTGTTTCGACCTAACAGTCTTCTTCAACAGGGTTTTTTAAGGGGGGTATAGAGTTTGCAGAGTGAAACTAGAATGCAGGAGAGTTTGGGAGCACTGAACATATGTGAAACCAGAGAAAACAAATTATTACGAAGTTATTATGAATTACACAGTACAAAAATGAAGGTTGAAAGAAAGTGAAAAGGATGAAATTACTGAATATGTTATTAGTAAATTATCCTACCAAAGGTCTTGTCGTTGCGGGACATTCCAACATTACGTACTTTATTGTTCATCTTTAACGTTATTTTAGGAGCGAAGTAATTTGCTAGTCCTTTCGGGGTAAAACTGACTCAATGGTATACTGAGTTTGAATGCTTATGATGGAAGGGGTGGAGTAGGATTTATTCAGTAGCATGATCATGTGACTGTAGGTGATTGCATTCAAATATGGTGCCAGTGGCTTGATTGACAGGGATAGGGGCGTGAGGCAATTATTGAATTGTGAGGAAAATTATTGATATCAACGTGCAGGGTTTGATATTATGTATAAAAAATATATATGATTAAAAAAATATATGATTAAAATCGTTGCTTTCCTAAGCTCTTCAATAATCTTGTCAATCTATCAATCCATATTCTCACATTTTGCATATATTTTTCAGCGTTTTCAAAACAACAAAATGAAGAAGTTCATACGGAGGAGCAAGGACAAACAGACGCCGATGAGCGTGGTCAAAGACAACAAAATGAAGAAGGAAAACTGAAGGGAGAGGTGATACATATCTATAGCAGAATGCGCATCTGGTTCATTCTGCTCTTCGCTTTGGTAGCGCAAAGTCGTCTGTATTTTAAAGTCAAGTTTTTCCATCAGGTAAATTTTCTTTCATTTTATATCTGAAAGTTGTAATGTCTGGGTGTGTTCCAACTATTTTACTTCTCGGGCATTCCTTTGTCCGTCGTTTACGGGACGACTTGGAAGCGCACTTTGATTTACACGCTGCCCCAAATTTTCATCTACCCGAATCGGGCAATGTTTCTTTGTTGGGTACGGGTGGCAGAACCGTAGATAAAGTGCTTAAATATGATCTCTCATGGGTCAAAAAGTATAAGCCCGATATCGTGATTCTCGAAATGGGCACTAACGATTTGTCAGGTCACACCCCTGAAGTAGTGGGGTCGAAACTCAATGATCTTGTGCACGTTCTGCGCGATCAGTATAAAGTTCGCGTTGTTGCTGTGTGCCAAGTGATTAATCGGAATCTGCCTCACACTCAGGCACCTGATAATGTGTTTAATACCAAAGCCGCTCTTTTACGCCAGTACCTGTCTGTTGTCCTTGCTGAGGAACAAGGCATTTTTGTGTGGGAACATAGGGAGTTTTCTCACCCTGATCGTCTCTTGTTGTCCTCAGATGGTGTGCACTGTAATGCACAGGGACAGTACTGTTTATACCGTAGCTATCGTGGGGCCATCTTGAAAGCTCTCACCATGTTATAGTCCTTAGCTCCAATATGTGTTCATTTTACGCCGTTGGTACAGACATTATTATTGCATAATTGTTTGATAATTTTGGTGCACTATATTATATACTCTTTTATATTTTACCCCTGTGTATGTGGTTGCCGTTTATGTACCACTACTATATGTTTATGTTATATGGGCTATAGCAACATGATTGTTTTCAGATGCCCACGTTGAGACTTCAACATTGGGTTTTTTCTACACTGGACATATTCATGATTTGAGCTGGTTATATATACGTACAATTCGCAGCTTCTTTAATAGTTGATGTATCTGTTTTGTTTCATGTAGAGTACATGTGTGTGGAGTGTTCTTGTAGTTTACTTGTGTTGTATATAAATGTCTTTTCTATAGTATAGGTATATATGACTTGCCGCTCCTGTGTCAAGGAAAAAATGCATGCCTAAGTGGGATAGAGCAAATATTGTTTTCAGATGCCCAAGGTTGTTGTCAATATATTGTGGGACGGTGCGGCATGTTGTTTCCAGATTGCCCTTTTATATTATTTTTTTGCGGCGTGAAAGGATAACCAATTGCGGCTACCTTCGCTGTATGCCATGATTATTCTGCTGCTTTTATTTGTCACCGTTGCATGAATATGTAAATAGTTGTGCAATATGATGTCTGTTACTTTCCAAAATTCCTCTTGTCTAATATTCCAGGGCCTGATATGGCTCCCGTTAAGCAAAGCCTGCCTGTCTTCGGTCTTTAGTTTTTTCTTTCAGAATGCCAGCTACTCGGCCTAGCACAAGAGTTCAACGTCGTGCGCAACCAGCAGCACAACGTCGTCCACCCTCTCGGCGAAGAACAGCAACCGCCAGTGCCACCACTATGCAGCAACCAGAGTCAAGTGGAGTCAGTTGCGAGGCGTCTTCCTCCGTGGCCACAACGTCAGCACCTGATGCAGCATCTCCAGCGACAACTGTTCCTGACGAAACGGTTCAACGGATCGTCTCTGCCGTCTCTCAAACTGTGTTAGCGTCACTCAATGGAGCCTGCGCCACAACTCTTCCGCCGCCATCTTCAACTGTGGAAACGAGGGAATTGCCTATGGTAGCGTCAGGTATAGCTAGTTTCGCAGACGCTACTATGCAGGGGCCGGTAGCGTCTGCCTTAAATAATCTTTCAGGTGAGACCAGTTTTATCCAAGTCACACCGCCTGTAGAGCCAGGTCTACCTAAATTTAATTCCATCAATGTACCCATTGATGCGAATGTGAGCGCAAAAGTTAAGGCCAAGATCTGGTCTCACGAATTCATCGATTTTGGTGTTTTAATTAGCTCAGGGGCAGGTGATACCCGGTATCACTTGTCTGTGAGCTCCCAAAACGGGTCAGCTTTGCCGACGTTGTCTTTGGAACCGTCCCAAAAGCCGAAAGCCATTGCTAACATTGGTGCATGGACTTCGGCTTTTCAAATTTTTGTAGGGGTGTACACTGCCAAATATCCGATGGAGGCCCCAGCATTGATGAAATATAGTGAAGCTGTCCGGGATTTGGCCGTACGAGGGGCTGACTGGCGCTTTTATGACTCGCAATTTCGTCTCTTGCGTCAATCTAATCCGACCGAGTTGCCATGGGGGTTTACTCATTGGGAACTTTGGATCCGTGCACAGAATTTTAACAATGCGCGTTTTTCAATATCTCAACCGCCTGTGCGCAACAACTTGTCCTCTTCAATTGACGGACCCTTTGTTCCCAGGGGGTTTTGTCGCAGGTTTCACCGTGGCGATCACTGCCCTGGTTGCAATTATAAACATAATTGTTACAAGTGTGGTGTAATTCACCCAGCCCTACGGTGTAATTTTCGTTCCTCACAGCACACCTCTGCCCCGACCTCGGCCAAATCTCGTCCTTCCAACACTGGTTCGAATTGATAATCTTCAACCTTTATTATGTGGATACGATCCGGGATTGACATCTATTTTGTATACTGGTTTTAAGTTTGGTTTTTCTCTTCATTTTGAAGGAACGCGTACCCCATTTTTTGCAAATAATTTAATTTCTGCGCAACAAAATCCTGAGATAGTTAGTGCTAAACTCTCGAAAGAATTGGCAGCCGGTCTACTTGCCGGGCCTTTCGATTGCCCGCCTTTTCCCAAATTTCGTGTTTCACCCTTGGGGGTTGTTCCTAAGAAAGCCCTGGGGGAATATCGCTTAATTCATCATTTGTCTTTTCCCAGAGGTGATTCGGTTAATGACGGGATTGCCCAAGAGCATGCGTCAGTCCAGTATGCACGTGTTGATGATGCGGTTGTTATGATCAAACAATTAGGTTCTGGTTGTTTTCTTGCCAAAACCGATATTAAGAGTGAATTTCGCATTATCCCAATCAAACCATCTGATTACGTTCTTT